TGCTGTGCAGGGAGTGAGGGGATGCGGTGCAGGGAGTGAGGGGATGCTGTGCAGGGAGTGAGGGGATGCTGTGCAGGGAGTGAGGGGATGCGGTGCAGGGAGTGAGGGAGTGCTGTGCAAGGAGTGAGGGGATGCAGTGCAGGGAGTGAGGGGGTGCTGTGCAGGGAGTGAGGGGATGCGGTGCAGGGAGTGAGGGAGTGCTGTGCAGGGTGTGTGTTGGGGGGAATGCTGTGCAGGGACGGATCGGTGATGCTGTGTGAGGCAAGAGAAGAACGATGTGCAGGGCTGGGAGTGGGGCTGGGGGGGACATTGTGCAGATAAGGGAAAGGGGGGACCGGGGGAGGTGCTGGCCTAGGCTGGACAGGAGACACTGTGCAGGGGCTGGTTTGGGTGCTGTGCAGGGCTGGGTGAGGATGGTGTGCAGGGACAGATCAGGGATGCTGTGCAGGGTTTCAGGGGGTGCTGTGCAGGGACCGATGAAGGATGCTGGGCAGGGTCGGGGTGAGGATGCTGCGCAGGGACTGCCTGTGCTTAGCCTGCACCCTGCTCACCCCTGCAGGGGGGACCGTGGTGCAGCGGGGCTGCATCTGGACCTGCATCCGGCAGAGGAGCCATGGGCATGGGCTGGCCCCACAGCTGTGTGATGCTGCAAGTGGGTACCTGCCTCTGATGCTGGCTCTGATGAGGTATGAGAGCCCCCGGGGAAAGATCTTGCTGTAGATTTTCCTCAGATAGACTAGCTATAAGCCTGGGGTTTGGCTACTGCACTAGAGCTTCTGGACCTGTGTGATTTCTGGATTGTGCTGACCATCTCACACAATGCTGACACAGCGTGTTGTGCACATGGCCTGAATATCACAGTTCATTCATTGCCTGCCCATTATGGTGGAGCAGTGCATGGGATTTGCAAATATCTGTTATTAAAAATGACTTCTTGGGCTGCTGGTTTACAGGACAGAGGTGCTAATGCTGAATTAGACCTACCTGTTCCTAATGCTTTAAGGAAAATTGCTTGGCTGGGAAACACAGAGGTCTTCTTGTACATCACTGGGATGCACTTAAATATGAGGTCACTTCCGCCCCACCACCCCAGGCCAACCACAGGTACCATAGTGTGCACTGATGTGTGGAGCACCCATGGTAGCACCGGCCTGTTGGTAATGGTCATGGCTCTTTTCCAGGCCAGCAGTGTTTGATCAACGCAACTTCTGCCAGAAGTTCTTGCCCTCCCCTGCAGTGCACACGCGCTGCGCCTCTGCAAGGGCAGGTGTGAGAGTCTGCTCATGAAAAGCCGAGGCTGTGTTCATACAGACAGCAGGGTCTGCGAAGCTAGAGTATCTCCTGCACAGAGATGGAAGCTCTAACTTGGCTGCTCTGCTTGCCTGCTCTTGCAGCAGGTCAACTCTGCCTGGCTGGCTTGTGACTGTCAAAGGAGAGGACCAGTGGCCCTTGCAGCAAGACCTGGTTTATGCCTTCCCCTCCGTTCCCAAAGGCTAGAGCCTGGGTGTGCATGGACTGCCCACCCAGAACTTGTCCTGGGCCTCAGCGGAGCAGCAGTGGTGCTGCAAGTGTTGTGCAAATAAAGAGCATTTGTATCTCTATTTCTCTGGTTCCTTTTGGTCTTCCAGAGCTGAGAGCTGAGAAGAGCCAAGCTCGTGCCATGGATCCTCAGGGCTCTGACGGGGAAGACGATCCTGCCTGCAGCTCTGCAGGTGGGTGATGGGGCTCAGGCTCCTGGTACTGCAGCGGCCTGCAATAAGCTGAGAGCTTGCAAGGTGCTGAGGCAAGGTTATACCTCCCTCCCTTGCTCAGTAGGAGGAAATGCTTCACTGTCTCTCCTGTCAGGGCACTCCTTTCCATATTCACTGTGCAAAGGCATCCGCTGCAATATCACCGTCTGTGCTGAGACGTTCTCCACTGGGAAGCTTCCGTGGCTGTGAGTGTCCCAGGAGATGGGAATGGGTCTAGCATAGAAAAGAGCGGGTTGATTATTGATTCACCTTTCACGCACATGAAGAGACAAGGTGTGCTTATACCTCTCGGGGGTTTAATGACTAGATCAGGAGCAGGGCTCTGGGGATCAGTTCTGCTGGTGGTGAGCAGACTCCAGGCGGTCAGCAATGATCTTTGAGACTGGTGGAGAACAGACAGATCTTCCAGGAGGTGGGAAAGGGGAAAAGACTGATGCCTGTCCTTTTAGAAACAGGGAAAAAGAAAAAAAAAAAAGAGAACAGAACCTATCTCTAAGAAGTCCCTAGAAAATAACACGGAGGGATCTGTGATTGCCACAGTGGAATAGTTGAGGTGAAAGTAGTATCTAAACAATCTAAATTCCTCTTATGATAGGTATCGGGCCTCATACAGGAAGGAAGCAGTGCATTGGCTTAGTTTAGAAAGACCTTTTTAAATTTCACTCCTATCATCAGCACACCAGTGAAGCATGGGCTGTGGAGCGTGCCAGGAGGTGGCTGCAGCGAAGCTGTTTGGGTGACTGTACTTGGAGCATAATTATCAATGACTTCTTGGTTTCCATGGGACGAGGCTGGGTGCAGTGCCTTCCTTCCTGCGTTTTCATTGCCAACCTGAGCGATGGAAAAGGGAGCATGCTTACTGAACCT